ATATACCACGCCCCCATGGAGACCTGCTACACCCCTGCGAAGATATACCACGCCCCCATGGAGACCTGCTACACCCCTGTGAAGATATACTATGCCCCCATGGAGACCTGCTACACCCCTGTGAAGATATACCACGCCCCCATGGAGACCTGCTATACCCCTGTAAAGATTTGCCACACCCTCTGAAGACCTGCTATGCTGTACCTATATTTGAATAGCTGTGCTTTGCCCACTCAATAGCCTAAGTTATGACTGTGTTGATAGGTGCTCAGGCAAAATCAGGGCAGTATCCATTTAAAAGGTTTACATTTAAGGTTGCATTGACTAGGTAGAAATCTCACTTTTTGTGTGAATAAACATTATGGGAATAAGATAATAATGCAAGGTATTTCTCATAATAATAGGATAAACTGTGAGACAGTCCCTTCTACCTTATTAGGCTGCATGCCGCAGTCAAGGTTTGGAAAAACAACAACTAAGGCATCTTATCCTTCCTAGATTTGAATTCAAAAATCGCCAATCACAGTATGGGTGCGTAGGTTCAATCCTGCCAAAGAAATGAGTAAATAGAGGTTTCCAGGTCCACATAATGGGCTGTGAATTACAGAGATCTACAATCACTGAAATGTGTAATGTGGGTGTAGAGGGTGTAGGCATCACTGTGTGGGTGTTAGGGCCTCTGGATGTCAGCATATGGGGGTCGGGGCCCCTGGATGTCAGCATATGGGGGTCGGGGCCCCTGGATGTCAGCATATGGGGGTCAGGTCCCCTGGATGTCAACGTATGGGTATCGGGGTCTCTGGGTATCACCATATGGGTGTCAGGGCCCGTGGATGTTAGGCATGGTGACTTTCATGCCGCTGGGTGCAGAAGCCAAGAGTTTCCAACATCTTGAGAAGAACTCGCTGCCCCTCCTCACTCTCTCCTCCAGGGCTGTGGCTTTTGGCTGGGCAGCAAGTGTTGGTCTGCAGTAATTAGTGACTCAGAAAGTCCACAGTCTGGCAGATTTATTTTGGCAATTAGGAACGCCAGGAGAGCTCCAAGCACATCCAAGAACGCGCTCCCCCTGCCTCTCCCCTGTGTTCCTGGGCTGCCGTGCCTTCGGTAGGTTTTTATTTATATGTGAGAGATGACTCCCATCATAAGATTATTCTTTCTGCTTCGGCAAGTGTCCGTGACCCACATCGTGACACAGGCTCTGAGGGACTCCTTATCAGTGCTGCACCTGCCTGCGGTCTTAGTGCGTGATAAATCAGGCTGTCCTCCTCCCTCCAGACCCTTCCACCCCCCCAGCAGCTGCAGGTCTGCACCCAAACAACATCAGGCAGGCACGCCTCACAGTGAGGGGCTGGTAGCCAGCAGCCATAAATGCACTATAAAAATGAATCGGCTTTGCTGGGCGGCAGTAAAGAGCAGCAGCGTGAAAATGGGCAGAGAAGCTGGAGCGCGTGTGCGCGGAGTTTGTGTTTAGCGCTTGTGGAACGTGAGAGCGACGTGCTTGTGTAATTACAGGCTGTGCTGCTGGTAATCATGCAGGGTACAGAACAAGCCGTCCGTCTCACTGCAAGAGAGGATGCGAAGTCAAAGAAAAAACCCCGGAACAAAGGGATGGTCATGTAAACAAAGCAAATGCGAAGACGTTTCTGGCTCAAATTATATTTCAGACAATATAATATTAAGGAAAATACCCCAAAACAAAGTGTTCTAAAAAGTTTACATGCATCTTATGGAAATACAAAGTACTGTGGCAGGAAGCTTCTGTGGTGACTGATGTACAATATGTGAAGTGCTCTGCCTGACATCTGCTCATACGTTGCTCAGTGTAAACACATATGCTAGACCTGGAAATGCTATGACAGCTCCGAAAAATATGGATCAGAAAGCAAACTGAAATGTTTGAAGTTGGGAAAATGGCAATGAGCAAATGCATCGTAAACATCTTCAGATTTTTTGTTCTGGCTTCCATTCCTGTTTGCTGCTTAGGCCTGTATGGTCAGGGACACAGTTATTGAGAGGTTCACAAAGCAACCCCAGGGCATTATGGGTAAACAGTACAGGTTATACGTATAAAGCAGAAATGGCTGCACCGAAAAATTCCTGGAGCTTCTTGCCATGCTATGGGTGCTCTTCCAGGGCTGCTTTGAATCCACCGATGAGAAGATAGCAGCTGAAAGGTGTCTCAGTGGAGTTTTGGACATTTACCACCCTACCCCCGATGCTGGCTTACATGTCATTATATGTCACTGACTATCATGAGTGTGTTCATGTCTATAGTTAGTCTGCTGGCTCCTCTATCTGCTCTGGTACCTGGCTTTGGGGTTGCTGGAAAACTTGATGGTCTTCATGCTGAGGCTTTTTAAAATGGAAATTGCTCCAGCCTCACAGAACAATAGACACATACTCATTAAAGCCATGCTGGTGCTGTGCCGCTGGTTTTCAGCAGCGCTGCGTGTTGAGCCAGTAACTTTCTGAACTCTGTTTCTGATGGGGTGCCGGATTTCAAAACCTCTGCACAGAGCAGGTCAAGTCCTAGTCACAAGGTGTGATACTCTGGGGAAAGCTGACTTTACTGTGGAAATGCGCAACGCTTGGGCGAAAGCCGGCATTACCGTGGAAACACGTGACGCCCCTGGGAATGCCGGCATTACCAGGGAAGCGCGTGATGCCACTGGGAAAGCCGGCATTACCGTGGAAACACGTGACGCCCCTGGGAATGCCGGCATTACCAGGGAAGCGCGTGATGCTATGCAAAAGCCAACTTTACTGCAGAAACATATGGGGCTACTCAGAAAACAAACATTGTCGAAGATACTTGTGACAATCCGGGGAAAGTCGGCATTACCGCGCAAACGTGGGACACTCCAGGGAAAGCTCACATTACCAGAGAAACGTGTGGTGCTTCAGGAAAAGCCAGCATTAAACCTGAAACGCATGATACTGCAGGGAAATGTGATATTACTGTGATAATGTGTGACGCTGCATTTCTGTCTCCCCGCCTCAGATTCAGACCTGAGCATGAGGACGCTGAGCACGCCCAGCCCCGCCCTCATCCTGTCTCCAAGCTCCTCCCCTCTGTCGCCGTCAGCCATCATCAATGGCTCCTCCACCTCTTCCTCTTCGGTCACCGGGGAGACCGTCGCCATGGTGCATGCTCCCCCCGGCAGCCTGCCTCACGCACGTATGCGGGCCTGGCCCCGGCCCCCGAAGGACCAGCTGCCGCCCATCGAGCTGCTCCCAGACCACGTCTTCCTGACCATCTTCTCCCACCTGCCCACCAATCAGCTGTGCCGCTGCGCCCGCGTCTGCCGCCGCTGGTACAACCTGGCGTGGGACCCGCGGCTGTGGCGGACTATCCGCCTGACGGGGGAGCTCCTGCACGCCGACCGTGCCCTGCGTGTCCTCACCCGCCGCCTCTGCCAGGACACGCCCAACGTCTGCCTCATGTTGGAGGCGGTGGTAGCCAGCGGCTGCCGGCGGCTGACAGACCGCGGCCTACACACAGTGGCTCAGTGCTGCCCCGAACTGCGGCGCCTGGAGGTGGCCAGCTGCTACAATGTGTCCAATGAGGCCGTGTTCGAGGTGGTGTCCCGCTGTCCAAACCTCGAGCACCTGGATGTCTCAGGTAACAGAATGACCATGTGGGTCTGTCTACTTCATCCCAGATCAGTGTTGTTATAGTTTTGATTCTTTATTTGTTTTTTATTTTTTATATTATTTTCAACTTCTATTTGAAATATAGATTAGTTTCAGTTTTCAGTCTGGTGTTTACCTACTTTTATTCTGAAAATATATTTCTATTTAACTTTTATATATTTTAGTTTCAGTTTAAGTTTTAGTAATTTTATTTGTAGTAATAGACTACAACTTTGTAGAGTTATTTTATGTGTCCATTCTTGCATGAAAACACATCACACGTTATGTGCTAATGTTGCCAAAAAGGGTAAAACATGTTTTGGGTATATTAACGGTCATTACTTTAGCTACATTGTATTTAAATGTGACAGAAAGTATTTCAAATTTGTCTTTATTTTATTTCAGTTAGTTTCATAAGCAATATCTGTAGTTTTCATTTAGTTGTAGCTTTTTAAATTTTATTTTTGTGTCATTTTATTTCAGTTTATGAAAAGTTTTCGTAAACTGCTTTAGATTTCGTTAATGCTAATAACGCTGCCCGGATGCCCTCCCCTTCCTCAGGCTGCTCCAAGGTGACCTGCATCAGCCTGACGCGCGACGTCTCCCTTAAGCTGGCCCCCATGCATGGGCAGCAGATCTGCATCCGCTACCTGGACATGACGGACTGCTTCGCGCTGGAGGACGAGGGCCTGCACACCATTGCAGCACACTGCACGCAGCTAACGCACCTGTACCTGCGCCGGTGCACGCGCCTCACCGACGAGGGCCTGCGCTGTCTGGTGCTCTACTGCCCCGGCGTGCGCGAGCTGAGCGTCAGCGACTGTCGCTTCATCAGCGACTTCGGCCTGCGCGAGATCGCCAAGCTGGAGGGCCGCCTGCGCTACCTGAGCGTGGCACACTGCAGCCGCATCACCGACGTGGGCGTGCGCTACATCGCCAAGTACTGCGGCAAGCTGCGCTACCTCAATGCCCGCGGCTGCGAGGGCCTCACGGACCACGGCCTCGAGCACCTGGCCAAGAACTGCCCCAGGCTCAAGTCACTGGACATCGGCAAGTGCCCCCTAGTGTCGGACGCCGGGCTGGAACTGCTGGCCCTCAACTGCTTCAACCTGAAGAGGCTGAGCCTGAAGGCCTGCGAGAGCATCACGGGCCGCGGCCTTCAGGTAGTGGCCGCCAACTGCTTTGACCTGCAGCTGCTCAACGTGCAGGACTGTGACGTGCCACTAGAGGCGCTGTGCTTTGTGAAACGCCACTGCAAGCGCTGCGTCATTGAGCACACCAACCCCGCCTTCTTCTGACGGGGCAGACAGAGGACAACTGAGAAATGTGTGCAGTACTCACTTACCCACAATGCTGTTTGGGTCCAGTTCTGTGACACATGAGTATTTATATGCGTGTGTGTATTTTGTATTAAAATCATTGCCGTGGCCTGGCTGTAAATGTTCGCTCGCTCACTCGCTCGGCTCCACAATGTGAGAAGCTCATACAGTTTTTAAGAAACAGAACTATGACGTACGAGTCTTCACCCAGAGTCACCACAGCCGTGTACTTTAATTACACAGAAACGACCGTTAATGCTTGCATGTAAAGTGTGAATGTCAGTTTTGGTCCTAATCGTCATAATCTCTGCTTATAGTGCAGTGTTTTGTTGGAGCTCTTGTTGAACATACCACCAAAAGACAGCTTTAAAAAAATAAATATACACAAAATATTTTAACACTCCACTTTTAAACATTGACAAGTTGATTGTTTTTTATTAAAGATCCTTTAAACCTGATATTCATAGAAATTCAGAATGGCAAATGAATGCAGGACAAATTACTGAAAATTCAGTGGCATCAAAATGTGTCTAAACTTTAACTTAATGAAAAAAAGCAGAACATTTTTTTCCAGCCCCATAAAGATTGTAAATGAAACGCCAATTAAAGGTAGTGTGGCATGTCCTGGTGCATATGGCATGTCAATAGCATGTGTCTGTCCAACAGGAAATTTCATGTGCGCCTCCACTAAGAGCTTGATCCCTTTTCCTATTCCTACTTTGTTTTGAATATAAGACGTCCTCCCTGTCAAAATTTTGGGATCACTACATTTTATCCTTAGTCATCTGGGTGCAGATTTCGGAGATCTTTCTACATTTCACTCTTGTATTTTTTGCTTGCTGATTATGTTTGTTGATGCATCACCCGTAATGTCCATTTCTGACAGCATTGCTGTCTGTCTCTCCTACAGAAACCATTGTACCGTGACTCTTTTTGACTTTAAGATCTGTTTATCTTTATGCACTGAGACAATCACCCCTTTAAAGTGGACCAGTTAATTACTTATGGGAAAAAAAACTCAGATACGTCTGAGAAACGTTAGCCAGTATTGAAAAATGTGGATGAAATGAAAGATTTACCAAAAAGTTAATGTAAGTATTGGGAATTAATATGCCTGGAAATGTGTTGCAGATCAGTTACTGTCACATAAAATCCTCTCAAATAAACATTCCTTTTAATAGAAAACGAGTTTCCTGATTGAATTAAGAAATTAAGAAAAGGACTGGGTATTAAATTGAAATGTATTGATGTTTTGAAAAGAACATGCTCATATTATTATATTACCAATTATTAAAATATGTACAGTGAGATCAGCGAATGCCATTCATCATGTACCGTGAGATCAGCCATCACCACCAGGCCCCTAGTAAGTTAATTCCCATTTGATGGTCTTGAATCCCTTTCTAGACTGTTCTCCCTGTGGCAGTTGTGTTGTCTGCCCAGTGTGTGGTCCAAAGGATCTGCCAGACTTTGACCAAAAACACCCCACTTGTTTAATACCTTATGTCCTCTGTTGGCAAGTCACTTAATAAGTTAATAAAAGGTGAGTCAAAATTACACGTAATTATTATCAGCATTGAATGTGCACGTTACACACATGTACATAAACACGTGAACAATGTTATCATTGTTGTGGTTCACTGAAGAAACACAGAAGCAAAGTATTTAAATATGTCTGGATTTTAAATGACAGTCATACAGTGTATAACATTTATGAAGTTTCATTGATATAAAAAGTCTTTTCAGGAAATATCACCCACAAATACTTTTGCAGTATATAAAACATTTGTTTTATTTTATAGTAAACAGCTATATAGTTTTTTTTTTCTTTCGTTCACCATAACACAAACATTACATCATGTTAAGGAGAAAACTACGATCTTGCATGTGCTGTCTCTATTTGACCACCAGATGGCAGCACAACATAGACTTTGCAAGTAATTCCACCGTTACTCCATTGTCTTGGTCAAACCATACTGGTTCGTTAGACTTCACGTTTTCGCGTTGAATTTGGGTGTAGTGGCTTAAAGGATTCTCCAAGCCTAGTCCCTGTTAGTATGACCAGGGCTACCCGAGGACGATAGAGGGACTGATATCGAGGGTTATGGCTTATTGTCCACAAGCCTAATAACAAATAATAATTAATAATAAATAAAAAAAATGTTTAATAAATAAAAACATAATGCTGCTAAATTACTCTCCTCTTTACTCGCAATCTGTATGCTGCCACCTGCTGGTTTTGCTGCATTTTTCCACTTCAGACCACTCTGCTGAGTTAAAACCTTCAGAAAAGATAAACTTCTGCGCTGAATATACGTGGCAGATAAAAAGGCTGCCTCGTGATTATAATGCTTGAATACCAACATGCAAACCCATGCCGGATTCTTGATTGTTTTGAATTGCAAACAATGATAAATATCACCTTTCCTTGTTGAACGTCATAACTCAGGTCCAAAAGTAATTCTTAATTTAAAGAAAATAGCAATTTAAAGAACTTTGAGTGGACCACACAGTTGATACAGATGCGATATACAAATTTTTCACATTTCTATGACCGCTCTTTATACATTTTAACCCCGCCTTCCACAATCACGTGATCCCCTTTGACATGAGGTCCTGTGACGTCGTACCGAAACCTACACCGGAAGCGGGCGGCGTTTCCCTGTTTTCCAGGGCGGCGTAGCAGTGCTGCCGCCGGGTACAGTCATACGGTTCCCCCGTTTGTACAGCTCCGGTGTTCTGTCGAAATGAGCTACTTTGTCGAGTTATCCTACCGTAGTGCTAATCGATAGCCCTAACCCTAACTCTTACCCTAACCCTAACCCTAAACCCCCAAACCCCCTAAAACCCTTACCCTAACCCCTAAAACCTAACCCTAATCCCAAAACGGTGGAACTGCACATGCGCAAAAAGACTCGATAGTACGTCTCGATAGGTATGCTGCGTTCGTTTTTCTCTCGGAACTCGGAAATTCCGAGTTGAGTGACATCACGTCCGACAATCTCCCGTTCAACTCGTCAGAACACCGGCTGCCTCTTTCCGGGTCTCTTTTGAGCGAAGTACAGGAAGCCGCCATCAGGTAGGAAACGGCCGATGGAAAGAAATGATGGCGCTTTATTTGCTATTTGTACAAGTGTGAATACAGGTACAGTAACGACTGTGCAGGTGCTGTAACTTGTCATTGATCTGAAGTTCATCCGTGCAATTTCACTACATTTCTGTTTCTATTTCTCGTTTACTATTCGTTTTTATTGCATGCAGCGAAATCAGGAAATGCCGATCTTTTAAGTGCATCATAGTTTTATTACTATGTGAATCGAGGTCTGCGAGCTTGCTCCAGCGCGACTCTTTCGGTTTTTATTTGCAGTGCAGGTGCACAGATTTGCGTTATAGCGCCTAAAAGAAATCCAGCCAATTTCCCATTCAAACAACCGCGGCAGCTGTGTGTGTGTGTGATGATTTTATTTTAATACTGAGAAGTAAATTTCTCAGTTTTCTGGGTACGTTTTGAATCAGCAGAGTAGTAAGTATGTCTGAATTTTTTCAGTTACTACTGTACATGTGTTTCTAACCCTGCCATTAAAGAGTACCATTTGGCCACAGGGTCCTCAGCAGCATGGCTGATCTTTGGCAGGACGCGATGGACCATGCTGTAGCCATTGCAAGGAAGGCAGGAGCAGTAAGTAGAGTGGGGGCTGGGGGTGTTTTAGCAGTATGCTGGTGTGTCTTTAAAGTGACCTCCCATCTGCACACATGTGCACAACTCAGATAGCGTGTGAGGAGGCTGGTTGGTCCACGTGGAGTTTATGTTGACACCCTGTGTTGCTTCTGTCTCATGGCAGGTGATCAGGGATCACCTCCAGGGCGAGATGACGGTCATGTGCAAGAGCTCCCCTGCGGACTTGGTCACCATGACAGACCAGAAGGTGGAGGAGCTCATCATGGCATCCATAATGGAGAAGTTTCCCACACATAGGTGAGGCCTCTTAGTATGTTGGAGCAACTGGAGATGACTCATAGCAAACCAGAAGTGTGAGCTGTAAGGGACAAAAATCAGGTATCGCCCACAGGCTGTGAATGACAGTGCCTGCAATTGCCCTGTTAATCTGTGTTTCCAGTTTAATTGGAGAGGAGTCTGTGTCTGCCGGTCAGCCCTGTATCCTAACAGACAACCCCACCTGGATTATCGACCCTCTGGATGGGACCACCAATTTTATACATAGGTATGATTCCCATTCCCCATACTACACACAGAACAGAATGTTTCAGTTCACTTTGTACTATTTATTCTGGTGATGCAGTGTTTCTCCTATGTACCACACTGAAAATGCAGACGACACAAGTGGAGGGAAACACCTTTCCTCTGTTTCAGATTCCCATTTGTGGCTGTATCCATTGGGTTTGCAGTCAACAAAGAGGTGAGATGGTATCTGTGTGATGAGAATTCTTATTGGTTACTACAAGAGATGGGAGGGACCTACTTTTTATATGGCTGTAAAATTTTGTTTTTTGTGTGTAAAGGTTAAAAACCGCTACCAAAATAGGCAGAGCTGGTTAGTGAGTAATAAGATGCTTTCTGCTGTAACTTAATGAGCTTGATGGGGCAAAACTAACAAACTTCTGATTAAATATCTCTACTGCCTCTTGGTGTGCCAGCCATTTGAATTGGACATTATGAAGTAATATTTAATATTTTGTATCAGTGTTTTATGACAGATTTTTTGAAGTATGTTAAATGTGAAGAACATAATGGCAGCATTTCTTTTGCAGCTCGAGTTTGGTGTGGTTTACAGCTGTATTGAGGACAAAATGTACACGGGCAAGAGAGGAAAGGGTGCCTTTTGCAATGGGAAGCGGTTGCAGGTGTCAGGCCAGACAGGTAGGGGTCAAACATGCTGCCCCCCCCCCCCCCGAGTCTGAAATCAGCCATCAGCTGGGGCTGTAGTGAACGAGACATTACAGCTTGTTATAGTGCAGCAGTGCATTCTGGGTTGCAGATATCAAACAGTCGCTTATTATCACCGAACTGGGCTCCAGCAGAGATCCAGAGGTGGTCCGCCACATCTTCTCCAGCATGCAGAAGATCCTGTGCATTCCTGTTCACGGGTAGGTGTCTGAGCACTATCTCCCTGCCCGGTGAACGGGATTTCCCGCATCCCCTGCGACATCCTCTGGCTCCGTCATTTTAAGCAACAGGTAGTTTGAACCGTAAAAATTCACCCCCCAGGATGCGCTGCGCCGGCTCAGCGGCCATCAACATGTGCCTGGTAGCCGGCGGCGCCGCGGAGGCCTACTACGAGATCGGGATCCACTGCTGGGACATCTCCGCTGGCGCCGTCATCGTGAGCGAGGCCGGGGGTGTCCTCATGGACGTGGAAGGTGGGACAGAGCCGGGGTCAGAACAGTGTTTGGTGTATATGCAGTGATGCAGAGTTTGAAACCTGAGGCTGACCTGTTCCCCAGGAGGGCCGCTGGACCTGATGTCCAGGAGGGTGGTGGCAGCCAACAGCAGGAACGTTGCGGAGAGGATTGTTAAGGAGATCGAGGCGTTTCCAGCTGAGAGAGACGATGCTTCTGAAGCCGGGTCAGCATGAGCTCCTGCAGCGTCATCACAGTGCCTGCTGGGCCAGGGATGGTCCTTTTTTTGAAATGTATGGTCTATCACCAAAGGCCAGCCTGAGGTTTATTCCTTTGTAGTTTGGTCTTTTATTTTGTGGAAGAACCTCTTTATCATCGGGCTTTGAGGTGCTGTTCGCGCTGCATTTTAATGTCAAACAATCTAATTAAAATGAACATTCTACTTTCTGTGGCAGCCCTGACTGATCACATCCTTCTGTGCTGATGTGTTTCAGTCGCTTTTATCCAAAGTGGCATAAAATTGAGAAAGTAAGGTCCGCCAGTCCCTAGCGTAATTGGGGGCAAAGACCCCGAGATCCGAACAAACGACCATCTGATTACAAGCGCAGCATCCAAACTTGCTGAGACACCCACCCCCCCCAGATCCCCATCCCTTTTTCACCCCAACAGTGAGAAGTGACCCACGCCAACCCCATCATTCCTCCCGCCAGAATAAGATCCCCCTTGCTCCCCCCCCCGCTAAATAAACAAAGAAACCAATGGCTAAAAGATCTGAATATTTTACTTTCAATAGTGCTATTAGTTATTAAAATAAACACTTGTCATACATTCCAATCTGTCACAGTGCAAAACAACCACACTCCAAGCACAAGGATCCAGAATTATTTATATTCTCATTTCTGTGTTCTTTTGAACTATGTTTGGTTTTATGGCAGTTGCATAAACTAACATTCTTTAGTAAAAGTTACGTGTTTAATGGAACATCATAAAGCCCTTGATCAGCTGATACAACGACACCCATATGCTTTCCGAAGCGATCAATCAAATGAAAACAACCTCTGGACTACTGTAGAGGACAGAACCATCCAGAACAATAAGCCACACCATGACGGGGTTAGACATACACTGTCAAATTTGTAGACCCCCCCCCCCCCCTGCTGGAGAAGTGTGGTACAGCTGCTTTTTGAGTAACTGTGTGATGGGGGGGCGGCGTCTCTTTCCGGACCTCGTTTTGCTCGTCATTCGTTAAGCAGCATCAGCAGCTGGGGGTCTGTTGCAAAGCCCCCAGATGAGCTGCCCTGTGCTCTGCCCCAAGGAGCCCGTGGGCCAGACGAGGAGGAGGAAGAGGAAGGTCCCGCTTTGTCCACACAGAACGGGTCCCCCACCAGGCCAATCTCAGTGACGCACTGCGGGCCAGAAACATGGGAGGTGAGGGCTGTGCTGGCAGGCCGTGTGGGGTCAAGGGTCACTGACGGGTCACCGACGGGTCACAGACCTGCCGCAGCCGTCGCAGGTAGGCAGTGTCGCTCTCTTGCTGCCGGGCCGCCGGCACGGGCACCTGCCACCGCCGCAGCTCCGCCTCCATCTCCAGCCGGTCGAACAGCTCTGCCGGGTCCAGGCGGTCCCTGTTGATCAGCTCCACCAGGAACTCCTTGTAGTGCAGCCTTTGGGAGAGAAGGGCGCTCTGTCTACACAAACGGGCAGAGGGTTCCCCGGCAGAACAGCATGGTGTCACTTTGGTAGGTCCCACGTCCCCGGGGCGAATGGCAGGGGGTGTTTTATTTGTGTAGCAGCCTCAGAGAGTTGGATGAGGGGGCTGTGGCTTGCATGCATGCCATGGACGTATTCCATTTTCCCCCCAGAATCTGTCCTGCCCGTCACCCTATTTTCCATTTCCAATAAAAATCTTTGAAGGACCCAGCCTCTCAGCCCCCCCCCTGGACTGGGAAACTCACGTGCAGTAACCAGCATGGTTGCGGGGGGCAGGGCGTCCACAGGCCTCCTCCCGGAGACCGCAAGCCTCTCGGTACTCCAGAACGGGACACACGCCTGATTGCACAAAAATACGGTGTGAGAAACACAGCAAACGGATCACGGTATTTAAGCTACATCCATAAAAAGGATGCGTCTGAAACACAAGGAGCCTCTGAGGTTTACACAAGTAATGATACAGCAATGACTGTGACGGTGAGGGAGCGCGTGAGGAACACCGTGAACTTCAGAAGGACACTGATTAACATCTGAGAACATGGCCACACGTCAGGGATACGATCATGTAGCTGGGAGGTACCTCTGCAGTCTTTCCCTTGCTGGCGGTCAGAGCCTCGGGGATGTAGTGCGTAGGACACTCTGAAGTACTGGACAGGAAAGAGACGCATCAGGCTAAACTGCGCTAATGGTAGCTGACACTGTTGGCCAAGCAGGACCGGTCCCTCCTGAGCGCCCACCCCATCCTGGCAACAATTTAGCAAATGTGGACCCAACTCAAGATCATAGACACTCTGTTTTAGCAACCACAGGGTGCACCTCCTTCATACAGCAGAGTGTGACTGTTCCCCCGAAAACCTCCCTTAGACAGAGACACAGCAGGAGGTCAGGCTGGAGACCTCCTCAGCACACACCTGGAGTAGGCGCTGCAGCCTGGACACGCTCCAGTCGCGCAGGTGGTACAGGCAGTCGCGCGGGTGGTGAGCATGCAGACCCCTGGCTCCACAGTCCACCGAGAAACCACAGGCCTGGAGGAGACGAGACCACATGGACACCAAGCTCATATCGCAGCCTTTAATCATCAGAGATTAACCCAACACAACATCTGGTCTGGCCACATGTACCTCCTTAGCAACCGCCAGGTAGGTGCATAAGAAGTAATTAAGAGCTTAATCTGAAATGCAGACAGAGGTTCCCTCAGAACGGACGGGGTGGGGGGCACTTACAGAGCCCAGCATGAAGGGTCTGCCACAGCCCCCGCAGAAGTTATGGTGACACTGTGTGCATTTGAAATGCAGACATCCACCCTTGGACAAGTGGAAGCGGAACTTGCACTTCGGACAGTCTGCAGAACACGACGAGGATCAGAGAGAGCGTCAGTGCAGAAGGAACGCAGAACCCCCCCCCGGCGTCTGCCAGAGCACGGGTCCCAAAGGGTCCCGTCACATGCTGTGGGCTCTTACCGATCCGGTTCCTGCCCAGGAGTTTCTCCAGGTGGCCAGCCTGGTCCTCGGGGTTGTTGTGCAGCTCCCAGTCCTTGAAGGTCTCACAGGACACACCCTCATGTCGGGCTGCCCACTGAAGGGCCACACAAGCAGGGCAGGAGCCCTCAGCATGGACATCACACACGTGCATGCAGCATTGTAACCAGGCATTATGTAATAAAGCCGCATCATGTAGCAACTCGACAGAATGTAACAAATTGAATGATGATAACAACGATGATGATGAAGATTGAAATAGGGTAATGTTGCAATATAAAATTATAATATAGTCAATAAATATGTTACATTTTGTTGAGTTATTATGTAATGTGGTGTACATAATGCATTGGTGCACGGTGTGTGACAGTGCATTATGTAATAACATCGCAATATGCGATTAAAATGTGTAATAGTTTCTCATAATGCGGCATTATTACATAATGCATTCTTACAGGAATGCAGACGTTCCTGTGCGTGCGTGTGTGTGTTTGTGTGTGTGTGTGTGTTGTTGCCATTGTTGAGCACTATCCTCTGTTTTTACCATTTAAGTACCGTTAAAGCTAACTGTGTCCGGCAAGTATCTGGCACAATTATAGTTCTAAAAATCAATATAAAAATTCACAATAACTAATAACACTATTTTATTAAAATGACACTAAGCTAACGAAAAACAAAGGTGTATGTTTGGTTTCAACATTGACAGGGCCCGAACCCCCCACCCCCCGATACTCCCACAATTTCGATAGAGACATCTCCCTATCACCCACACCAAAATCCACACCCTGTAATAAAAATAAAAAATAACTAAGAACAGCATTACACAATAGTCAGTTCTTGCATAAGTTTAGGGAGCAACATGATTCAGTCTTCTTTCGCTTGTTCCAGTATTGTTAGCCTTGTGATATCCTGTGTTCTAATATCTGATTTAACAGTACAATAATCCACGATGCGTGTTTATAAAAGGATTAAAGTAAGTGAAACAAGGTGTTACGATTCAGTGTTTTTCAAGAGTAACATTCAAGTATTCAGAAAATCTGGCAGAGGCTGGGTGCTGATGTTGACAGATACGAGATCGTTTACTTTACAAACTCTCCCCTCATCTCTGCCGTTTGTTTGTCACAATGCCGACCTGGAGGAATGTTATTTGGTGCCAGTGTGTACCTGTATATGGATGGTATGACAATGAAGTCTGCTTGACTTGACTTGACCGGCACGCGTGTCTGTGTGCGTTGAGGTCTTACCGGACGCCGGCACTGAGAGCAGGTGCTCTTCCCACAGTTGGGACAGTCCATCCTCAGTCTGGCAGCCTCATGGAGGACGCCGAAGGAGCACTGCATCCAAACACACCACACGCCCTCGTGTGTTTCAGGCCGGCTCATTCTGTAAGGCGGCTAACACAGGACACCCGCGTCCCACCCCCCTGAAAGCGCTCTTACGTGGGCACACCAGCGAAAGTTGGGCATGTCCTGCAGGGCCTGGTCTCTCAGCTTCCTCTGGAACAGCTCATGGGTTTCTTTGTCCAGGTAGTGCTTGATCTGGGGCAGCAAATGTGTCCAGTTTATCAAGCAGAAGTTCATGAGTGAAGTACCCAGCCTGCAAAATATCCAAAGTTCCCTACACCAGTTTCCCCCCCCCCCCCCCTCTCCCCTGCCCACCCTGGGCCCATCAGCATCTCACCTGCGTGTCCAACAGGCTGAAGTAATCCATGGCCTCCTCCAGACGGCCGGCGCCTCGCAGCTCCGGCTGGTTGCAGATGGGGCAGACCACATTGGTGATGTTCTTCTCCTTGATGGCTGAGGAGAAGTAGGCCTTGAAGCAGCTCTCGCAGAAGGCACAGGAGCAGTGGGTCATGGTGATGATCTATGGAGAGATGGGCAGGACACAGAGGGAGAGAGAAAGGGAGAAGAAGAAAGAATAGAGAGCAGAGCAGAGCTGTGGAGATGCGTCAGTCTACAACGACCCGGCAGGCCGGATTCAGCGCCACTCAAATAAAGCCATTATGTCCCTCACAGCTGAAGGGCATGTCGGCCATCTTATCTTCAGGCCTCACCTTGCTGAAGGACACCTGTTCCTGGCAGATAGGACACTCATGGGTGAGGTATCTCAGAGCTGAGGGCAGGTCCCTGCAGGACTGTACCGCCTCCAGCACCTCCTCTGGAGAGAAGCGACGCTCCTTCAGGGAGAGAAGGCTCCAGAACATGTCCGCCTTGTCCCGGGAGATGCCGTCTGGGACCGACGCATCAGAAGAGGGAATATGCAGGGGCGTTCGGGAAAGCAAAGGTTTGGGTTCTGTCAGGCTGAGTCGCGTCTCCTTGGGTAGGAAACATTAAATGTTTGTGTAAATATATATTCAAATTATTACCATAGGCTGGGCAGTAGGGCTGGGTGATATCTAATTTTTATTTTTTTAATATTAATAAAATGTTAAAAATATTTTATTGAAAAATATCAGTATAAACAATAATATTAAGTCGTATCAAATCAACAGTAAACGTTCCACTATTATGATGATGTTTATATACACTGATACCTATGAGTACAATACATAGAGTTAAAAAGACAACAGGGTCATTGGCTTGTTTTTTTAAACTGCGTCAGAAACATAAGCTACAAGGATGAACTGAAAGCCAATTTAGAAATCTTTGTTGTTATCTTATCTTGTACATAGCGTTTGATTATCTCTCGCCGAGTCGGAACTCGGATGAAAATGTCACAAGAAACGTCACATCCCGTCGGAAACACGTCTCTTTTACGACGTTGATGTCGGACAGAATGTTGTTATCCAAGTTTCCCCTGTGATGTCACTTCAACACGGCGGCTTCTGAAAAGCAAACTGAGCCGACTGGTGTCCCCCAGGCTGGGACTCTTACCAACACGCCATCAAACTTCTTCACCTGGATGGGAAAATGCTCCTGGTTGATGGGGAAGAGCCTGTCTGACTGCTTCAGGACCTGCTCTGCGTCTGGAAGGACAGGAAACCGGCTGTGAGAAGCAGAGCCCCCTCCCCCCACACCACCAGGCAAGAGACAGTCCTGCCGGAGGGAGGGACATGATGGGTAATTAATGAAGTATAAAGCAAGGACTCTAACGACGGTGCTGATATGCAGAGTCAGTATCCTGTGTAATATAATCCCAGCCCCAGTTAAACTTAATGAGTTTGAGAAACAGAAGATTAAATCATGCCAGGAATCACATAGGCTGCCAGCACGGAAATGCCGAGCGCTGCGCGCATTGTAACACACATAGGCATGCAGGCCAGGCCCATTATACAAACAGGCTTGTGTAGCTCAATGAGCAGAGTAGTGTGCCAACAATGCAAATGTTCAAATCCCAAGGGGAAAAAAAAAAAATAGCAACCCACTCTAAAATCACTTTGGATAAAACCACGAGGTAAACGCAAATCCCTCACATACGGAAGCCTTTCATTTCTCAGGATAACCAGGAACGGAGGGGTCTATCGTGGAAGATGAAAATACTGAGCTCCACAAAGCCAGCACCCTTTCTTGTTTTGATTGATCAAACAGGGAGTCTATCCCAGTTCTGGGAATAGTGTCTCTCCCAACATGAATCATACAACTCGTTATAGTCATTTGATTATCTCTCAATGGAATCAGGAAATCGCATCTCATTGGTTAGCCCGCAAAATGTGGAAATTACTTAATACTAACACACCCCCAATCGACAAACACGTTTCTGATTGGTTGCCCTTCCTTAGGCATCAGCTCAGTGTCTGCGCAGGCATCAACTAAGCCTCCAATTCCCGGCCTTCACTAAAATTAAACTTCCAGCAGAAGTTAAAAAAAAAAAAAAAATAAAAAATGAAACCTAGTCTACTAAAATAAGAACCACTTCTTACAACATTAAACTACTGATACTTACCACTAAAGATTTTTACTACCATTGAGGGATAAAATTTTACATTTTTCTTTCACAAGAGAAGCAAGAAACATGAAAAAAAAAAATCACCTATTAAATCCATCATTTTGGCCTGAATTGATAAGACTCAACCTTATCAGGATGAGGAACATGTCTAATTTAAGAGCTAATCTATCGCTCAGGAGCCGGTCGGCATTTAAAAACACATCTGCCAATATAAGTACCACTGCTCCGGTTCTGCTGGCCGTAAGGAGGCCTCTCAGAACCGATGGAGCAGCACGGACCAGCAAAGCAAAGGAACAGAAGCCCACAGATGGACCAGAAGGTTCAGCCAGGCTTCTCTGAAGAGCAGTACCTCTCTGGTTGCAGAATGTGACGTAGGCCTGGTCGGGCTGGGCTGCTGGGTAATGCACATCCAGAACCTCGCCGCCCCCGTTCTGCTGCCGCTGGAAGTAAATGGTGAGCTTGTTCCTCATCTTCCTGGGGGGGATGCCCAGGGGTAGCCGGTTCACCTCTACCTTGTGGGCATCATCCACCAGAAGCTGGTGTCCGGGTAGGGGGGCCCTATCTCCAAGCTCCTCCCCCATGAGGCTGGGGACACCTTTAAGGGAACAGGGGGAGCAGTCAATTTGGACATCAGACTGTCCCTATGCCCCCTTCAGCCCCGAATCTGTCCCTCAGACCATGTGCGAGACCCTTTACATTCTCTCTCTCAGGTTTCAGCAAGAGCAGGACATGGTTTCAGGTTCTTCATGCAGGTCTACAGCCAAAGCATAATCGATACCTACCTTTATCGCTGGGGTTTAACCGGGAGGCGTTAGCGTTTTCCAGTTGCAAGCTCCCAAAAAGGGTTGCCATGTCTTCAGAAGTGGAGGCATTTGCACTTGAAACTGTTGAAAAAGAATTAAGGAATGAATGAATAAATGATGTTGCCGTGCCTCCAAGCACAGCACATTATTGGCCCAGAGACAGATGGAAATGCACGGTGGCCATGTCAGGCCCCGCACAGGGCTCCGGCCCCCCAGGTCTGGAGTTCGACACCCCTGCTGTAGACGGTCCATTGTGCTAGTAGGTCATTCTCATTAGCTTTTTTTTGTGGAAAAATATGGTATACTAAAATACAGTATTTTGCTGTATAGAGCACTTTACATCATATTAACTGGGTGTTGATACATGTAGGTATATTAAAAATATTATAGTGCCACTAATTTTATTATTATTTTCTCATTTTCCACAAATAGCTAGCCAAAACTCGCATTAACATTTGTATGATAAGATTTTTGCCATTTTCTTGTCATTTTTTTCTCATCTCTGTGTGCCCTGGATTTGATTAAACGCTTTTGTTTACTACAGGGATAAATAGTAATATAATAAAACTGGTTAACTACCCCAGATGCAAAAATCGACTAATAGTCATATTACCATAACAATATGTTATGGTAATGAGTTTGACTCCACAATGTGGGGGGGGGCACATTGACAGATGTGTGAAGCTGCCATAAGCTTTGCATAAAAACACCACATGAGATGAAATAAGAACATAACACTATATAATCCAACCCAGAAAGCCCCAGACAGTCGGCCCAGACACCTGTAGTGTTCTGGAGGAAAGGGTTCGAAGGAGACAGGGTACAGCTTTCCGTTCCTCCGAAAGTAATGCCCAGGTCCAGCAGCTCCTCCGTGTGAGATCTCCTCACCGCTGGTACATCAGTGGCTGGAGCTGCAGAAGAAGCCTTTGTGTGTGCAGGACCTTCTCCTGACTGAAAATTGCCCCCTCTACATTTTACAGCGAAACCTACAAGGCTAATTATGCACATAATTCACATATGAAGTGTCATAAAAGCGTTTACCGCATGACTGCTGAGAAATGTGTTTTCTCTAATAATGTGTGAACAGCTCACTCAAAGCAATATAAACACTGACCTTTATCACTTGTTTGTGCTGGAGAAACTGCGGCCATCTTGGGGCTGAAGGCCACTCGATTCTGACTGGAAGCAGTGCTGGATAACGGCAGCCTAGGTGGGACAAAAGGCACAGAGGCAAATGAAACCCATCAGCATTTGGCACTAAAAGCCTTTGTAATTTACAGTCATTTATATTACAGTCGAACTTCGTTACAACGTACCTCGGGGGACATTAAGAATTTGTACGTTATAACCATAGTACGTTGTAACCAAGTCCCTCAAAATGAATGATAGAACACAAAATGTATATAAAAAAAACTTTTATAAAACACCCCTCAAGTTGACACTATGACATACAGCTTGTGTAGTTTGAAGAATATAATTCCTATTCTGAATAGGAACTATATTCTTCAAACTAGGTTAATATCAGTTACTCATAGACAGCCGACATAACGCAAAATCCACTGCCGTCTTATCGTTCAAATCGCCTTACTGGAACCTAATGTCAAACCGAAATTATGCACCTGTATGATTCAATTGGCTGAAATAAATTTCGATACCATGACACCATGCAAAACCATGAAAAAACGGGGGCTGCATGCAAGGAGTCCGGCCGGCATGGAATGCTTCGTGAGGATAGGTTCATACAGTTAGGCGTTGCTAAGCGATGTAGATGGCCGACAACAGCCGATTCTGAATTGTGCGCGCGCTCGGAAGATGAGGCTGTACGTTGTAACGAAGGTCAGTTTGCCTATTTTCCTCTGAAAATCATACGTTATATCGAAGTTTACGTTGTAAAGGTGTACGTTCTAAGCGATACCGGCAAATGGAATAATGGATTACGCGAATTCGGGACATTGAAATTTGAACGTTGTATTGGTGTAAACGTTATAAACAGGGTACGTTGTACCGAGGTTCGACTGTACTTACATAGGATCTGGGAAGAACTGCCTGTAGGGCTCAGGAGAGCTCTGAGACACACTGCCACCTAGAGGACAAGAGAGCACATTTCTGTTCTACTGAAGGAATTTACAAGAGGAAGTACTGTACATGTAATGAATAGGGTGTGAATCCCTCCATCCAGTACAGGGTTACAGGAAGCCTGACGCCTGTCCTGGGCACCATACACTGTCAGAAAGAAGGGGTACAGCCCTGGTACACATTTGTTTCCTATGGTACAAACAATATTAATGTTCCTCAGATTGCATTTCTGTACTTTGAAAGGTACAATTACCAACAGCTAAGGGTACAATTGGCAGACTGCTGAGGGTACAGCCCCAGTGCCAAATAATTGTACCCTGAAAGGAACAAATTGGTACGTTTTGGTTTTTTTTTGTGACAGTGTAAGGCACAAAGCAAGGATGGCAGTCTGTCACAGGGCACATACACACTACATGAAATTCAGGGACACCCAGTGGCCTAAGTGCATGTTTTTGGCCTAGATTAGAAAAGTAGAGCAGCTGGATGAATGCCGTGTGCACAAGGGGGGTAACACACACATACACACACAGACGCACGCACACACACACACACACACACACACAAACACAAACACACACACACACAGACAAATGGGTTGGGAAATCCATATTTATTTTTATTTTATAAACCCCTATTAATCTATCTATTTATCAATATCTCATTATTACAGTACCACTGGGAACCAGTGGCGGCTGGTTGCGAAATACATTTCAAAATATTACAGTAGTGAATTTTTCCAAAGAAGAGAGAAAATATGTTTTTAAATGACAAATTTTTTTTTAGTAATGCATTATTTCAATTATTAGTTACTTGTTTCATAATTTAATCCCAAAAATAAATGATTTACTACCTCCTGTACTTATACGGACCAGCCGCCTCTGCTGGGACCACACTGGGTGAATTAGGGCAGGAATTACTGGGAGAAAAGTTAAAAGGAACGAGAGGAAAGCAAGGGATCATGGGAAGATCACAGCAGCTCAAACCTTCAGTCCCTGGAGGCACTAGCTGCAAGGTTAGCTTGCTGGCCTCATTAGATAAGGAAAACAATTTTATAATTGATAAATAACAAACATCAGGATATGAATGTGGTTTATTAGCAGAATAACAGAACAAGAAGAGCGGGCTAGTTTAAGAGGTTAAGCTGTTTGGCTGATTATTTACGTCACATATGAATGAGCAGTAATGCAGGAAGGACAGGTGGCCATTAGCCATGTACGGCTAGGAGTACACGAGCACAGCTAAAGCGGCGTCACCCGACACATCGGCGCGTTGGAGAGCGAGGGCCTCACCCGCATGCCGGGGCGACCGAGGGGGCTGCACCATGGGCGGGGTCTGGGTCCGGGGAGCTACGGTGCAGAAAAGGGGAGTTTCTCTCTGAAAGGCTGCCCTCATTTCTGCCATCACAGTAGACAGGTTGGACAGGCCCTGTCGAACCAGGTGGGGGGGGGGTATAGGTGGAAAGTGAGGAGGAGGAGGGACAGCGAGAGAGAGAGAGAGAGAGAGAGAGAGAGAGAAAGAAAGACAGGGAGAGAGATAGAGGGAGAGAGAGAGAGAAGGAGGGACAGGCAGGGAGAGCAAGGTACAGAGAAAGCCCCTGTCAATCAAGTGAAACAGAAGTGACAATGTCGACCCTACAGGGCATGTGAATCAGACCTGAACACTGACAACAGACGGAGACACGTCACCTAAGACACGTCAAATAATGCATTCAAAAAAAAAAAAAAAAGAACAGCTTGTTCAGAGGCAGCAAACTTTCAAGTGAATAGCAGCAAGACATCCTGAAGCATTCTGGGAAGATCAGGGGTGCCCAACTCCAGTCCTGGAGGACCAGAGCCCTGCACATTTTTGGGTTTCCCCTCATTTAACACACCTGATTCAATTCCTTGTGCTAATTACCACACAGCTCTTGAGCTGAATCATTTATGGTGGAACAGGGAAAGAACTAAGCTACACAGGGCTCCGGCCCCCCAGGACTTGAGTTGGGCAGCCTTGCTATAGATTATTCAGATGACAGAAAGGTGCGACTAACGGGCATCCAGTTACTGAGGCAGGGCAGGGACACCAGACCGGCCTCGTCCACGCTGCTGCTGCTGGCGTTGATCACCATGGTGGCGGAGGGGCGCACAAAGCATTTGGGGGGATTCTGGGGGTGTGTTTCATGGAGCCAGACGGATACTGGAATGTTGTACGCGACTCCTAATATCCCAAAAACACACAGAGACACTGAAGATCAATAAATCAGTGATGTGAAAAGGTGACAGAGAGCCAGAGGCGTACTAAGAAATTTTGAGATCCCTGACAAAATGTCTCCTTCCCCCCCCCTTGCACCCAACTAATTTTACATATTCAAGGGCCCCTGAATCAGCCAGGGTATCCACGTCCCTCCAACACCCCCTGCAGGAAGCTGACAGTTTACATGAGCGCGGCATGTGGGCGGTCACCTTCATAAAGAACAGGGATGGTGCCGCTCAGATTAACGAGCTGCTTCTTCTCCTTGTTGGCATAGTCTGAGGAAGACAGAGGAGACACCACAGTGAAGAAGATTCTGTTACTGCTACCAGCACCAGTGAAATTAATCAGTGCAGTCTGCTGACCTCAAGCAGATACCCATCTCATTCAATAACAGCACTAAGACCCAAACGCCAGGACTCACAGTAGTACTCCACATACAAGTGCAGGTCCTGGTAGATCGCTGTGACAGCCCGAATATCGAGCGCCGCCTCCGTCGGGTAGCGGTACCTGCACTGCAGTCAGATGAATGTCAAGGAGAGAGAGCGAACGTGATAAGTCACCTCCACGGGCACCGGAGTGACTCGATAACGCCGAACACTGAAATGTCTCGCTTAACGCTGAACACTGAAATGTCTCGCTTAACGCTGAACACTGAAATGTCTCGTTTAACACTGAGCACTGAAATGTGTTTAAGACACGAATAGGCATACCCCTGACACCGCAATGCACCAGAAAAGTTTATTACTGTCAAAACTGAAAGCGATCTGGAGAAATTTCTTAAAGTAATACGTTAGAGAGAACATCTGACCTCACATATGACACCTGCTTCTCAATACAGATGCGACCACACCCCATCCTCACACATGTGTCTTGATCACAGCTGCGATGTTTTTAGTGTGTGGCATTAAATAAAATGCAGCTTAAGTGGACGATGTCGAGAAGTTGTCTGTAAAAGCGGATCTCCCTCAGTCCCTCACTAACATCTGCATAATTATTACTCTTTACTTAGGGTTTCTGATCTATATTTTAATCACGACAAGAACCGCAAATATAAAAACACACAGCACAGCTCTCCGTTTAACACAGCGTACTTGTCAAAGTAAGCGAAGCCACCTAGACACCGAAAAGTAGAAGAAAAGCTGCAGGAGGTGATGCAGCAGAAATGCGCAAAAGCCGCGTTTCACCGCACAACCGGGTCGGCAGTCGCATCTGCGGTAACGCTGGTGGACACAGCCCACATCGGGGGGTCCGACGGCGACCCGCGAAGCCGCCCCGGGGACACAGCCTGCTCATTTGCATACCTCGGCCAGAGCCTCCAAGTCAGCGCTCACCAGCGACATTTCCTTCTTATGACCATCAACTGGACGTGAAACATCAGCGATCAGAAAGGAGAGCGCAGCTGCCACACTAAAATGCTACCAAGCTAGAGAAACGAAACCGCAGATCGGCGCTCATCTCGGCCATCGAAGTGCCGGAGCACATTTCGTCTATTTGGACCGGAAGCGGAAGTCGAGCAGGACGCAACGGACCACCATGTTTGGTGTGGCTTTTCTGAGGGGGTGGGCTTGGTCGGGGTGGGGCGGAGCGGGGCGGGGCGGGGGGCGTCATTCAGACTGCTCCTGTAGGAATGCAGCCGGAGTGGCATGAGGGTGCCTAGGCATCTACCCATTAAACCCAAACTATTTAATGTGAATTTCTGCATGAGCTTTCAAAGTACAAAACTCTGCCCGCTCAGGAACGAAGCACAGCTGTAATGCCATAAGCCCTGCCCTTTTCGTTACTATACAAACAAGGTTCACACCAATGCAGTGTAATATGAAGTATAATACTCTTCTATAATTATTTTTATATTGCGAGTATCTTTGATTGACATGATCAGTTACTTGGTGGGAGGCATGAGGCCAATAGAACTTTCTGACCTTTGGAAGTTCCAGCCCTCTGTGTTTTTTCATAGCTCCCCTGTAGTGCTTTGCGGTCTGTCCATCTCCACCTCCTCTCTGATCTCCCAGAATCCCCCCAGCTGAAGAGCTCCTCGCCGATGAAGAGACCTGCTGCCCTTTCAGACCATCCCTTTGCGTGGGAATCAGGCCGTCTGATTTGGAGAGGCCCAGCTGAGTAGCACAGCAGCATCTCCTGCCTCCCCCGATCCCCTGTGGGGCTGCCTGATTACATTATAAAACAACTGCAGTGTTTAAGAGCACCAGAGGCACCCAGACGGACTCTCGAAGAGACCTTTTGTTTTTGCACATTATACACTCTCACTTTAGTTGCATACCTTATCTTTGCTTTCTTGCATTTTTCTAGTATTGTATTCCACTTGTATTCGGATTCCTGATTTTACTTTGTGTTGTATTTTATTTCTGGTATTTATTGTATTCTTTAGTTTCTCTTATTAGCTTATTGCTGGAATTTTGGTCTTCCTGTGTTCTGATGAATTGCTGCTGTGTCTGAACCTTTTCCGAAGATTTCATTGAGTCTTCATTGGGCCTGTCCCAGTTTGTTTCCATGCACTCCTCCTTTCTTCACGTAGTCTATTTATAAAAGGAAGCCAAACCTTCAATATTCAGATACCAGAACACAAAGGACAGGCTGTTTGATTATTAAGAGGCAATCAGATGGGATGATTAAGAAAGCGACTTGCATACAGTGGAGCACTGGCAGAGGCACAATGAAAGAGCAGGAATTAAAGGTTTTTCCATGATTTGAGATTAAACTTGGATCTGATCTGAAGGTGCTTTACATGGACAGGTGGGTGTTACTCGCAAATAGACATGCAGTATCAAACACTCATGCATGGCATTCACACACATTACACATGCATTACACACGCATTACACACGCATTGCACATGCATTAATTGTGCCTCTCACCAGCCAGAATCTTATTGTGTAATAGGCTTCAAGAGATCGAGGTCCAATATGATCAAATGTTGGGGGAGTAAATGATTTTATTAGTATTTAACACTGCCTATTATCTTGAGATTTTCAGTATTTATTCATGGTTGTTCTGCTTGCCACACTCTCCAATAGGGGACGACATGAGAATTGGTTAATATTGATGGGGGGGGGGGGGGCGCCCTGGGTGCCCCCCACGCACATACACACACACACACACACACACACACACAGGCCAACACCTCAGGGGGTCTGTGGTGTATACGCTGCTTAATTTTTCCAGCGCTTCACATTCATCTCCCCCCTGTGTAAGGACCCCCCCCACCCCCTGCCCCAGTGACCGCCATCCAGGGTTCTGTGTGGAGATGCAGTACAGAATGCATATAAAAACATAGCCACTGCTTATTATTAAAATGCCTATTGGTATGCAGGAAGGGGAAGCACAGTGTTTTAAAGGAATTTGATTCATCAACATTTAACTTATTCAGACTGGGGATTTTTGCTAAAAAAACACAATCATTAAAAAAGGAAAATCTGTCCACAAGTCTGCCGGCATTTATAATTTCAGCGGCATTGTGAGCTGTAGGAATGTATAATTGCCCTCTTTAAAATTAGATATATTTTTCCCTAGAAGTTTATTGCGCGTTGTGAAATCCAATCCAGAGCAAATTCAATACATATATCCTGGATTTATCTGATTTTCAGAATGCCTGATGTCTCCTTCATTTGTCCTGTCATGCTTTATTACTTCAGTTTGTTATGACCCTGATACCATAAAACGCCTCTCCTACATTTATCTCTGTGCCTTTACGCTCTCAAAACATGCAGTGATGCATTTCCAACACTAGGCGGCAGTATTACACTTGGCACGTTGCACCATTACTCTTAAATCTTTTCCTTACATTAAAAGATTGCACATAAACCATGATGGACTGGCCATGGTAAATATTAGGTAGGTGGATATTAGATTTATTACCTGCTGCTTCATTTAAAGAAATCTTACTCATAAAGCACATACATGACATGTCATATTTTCCCTGCTTTTTGAGTCCAAGTGCTAAACTAAGATGACAAAAGGGTTTGGTACGAGAAAAGAAAAGAAAGGAAGGAAAATAAGAATTTGGGAAGAGGAAGGAAGAGGCGGGGGATGTTATTGGGCAGGAAAGAAATGGAGGTGGCAATAGTGGGGAAACAAAGCGGAAAAAGGAGTATTATAGGGGGGGCTGAGTGGGATGAAGGGGGAAATGGAGAGGGATGGGGGATTGTAGGAGGGACTGAGTGGAATAAAGGGTGCAATGGAGAGTCATGGCGAATTGTAGGGGGGACTGAGTGGGATGAAGGGGGCAATAAAAACATAGTTACTGCTTATTATCAAAAATGCGTATTGGTATGCAGGAAGGGGAAGCACAGTGTTTTATAGGAATTTGATTCATTAACATTTAACTTATTCAGACTGGTACTGGCAATGGAGAGGGATGGGGGATTGTAGGGTGACTTAGTGGGATGAAGGGGGCAATGGAAAGGCATGGGGGATTGTAGGGGGAATTGAGTGGGATGAAGGAGCAATGGAGAGGCGTGGGGATTGTAGGGGGTACTGAGTGGGGTGAAAGGGCAATGGGGAGGCGTGGGGGACTGTAGGGGGGACTGAGTGGGATGAAGAGGGCAATGGAGGGGGTGGGGGATTGTAGGGGGGACTGAGTGGGATGAAGGGGGCAATGGAGAGGCGTGGCGAATTGTAGGGGGGACTGAGTGGGATGAAGGGGGCAATGGAGGGGGTGGGGGATTGTAGGGGGGACTGAGTGGGATGAAGGGGGCAATGGAGAGGCGTGGGGATTGTAGGGGGTCTGAGTCGGATAAAGGGGGCAATGGAGAGGAATGGGAGAAATTTTGGGGTGAAGAGAGTGGGATGAAATGGGTAATGGAGAGGGATGGGGGGCTTGTAGGGGGAAGACAGTGCAGAATGCAGAGTGCACATATATATATCCGTCTAATTTTGTGGGGAGGCCCCATTCTGCTGCTAGTCATATTAACCCAGATGGCTACACTGTGAAGGTGACTCCCCCAATGTGAGAGGTGGTCATTAGGACCCTGGACATGAGCAGAGAGCTTTGCAATGCCGTTTGGTCCAGAGCCAGCGTAATAAATCACATGTCATCTGCTAATAAATCATTGAAAAAGCAGCATGTGCGTTCATTCTTTAATTTAAATGGTACAGGCAGTAAAGGACATAAACATTATTAACACGTTTTTGGTATAATCAGAAAACAAGTTCAAATTCCATTGAGGTATGTGGCTACTAACCAGCTAATCTGGTAACTGCTTTAAGGAAAGCTTTCATTTGAAGTAATCTCAGGCCAGCAGGGGACGCTCTCTCAGCTCCAGAGACCTCTCTCAGGGACATTGCCCCTCTTTCCTTACCACAGAGACACACTTTGCTGAGCGGTACAGCTCTTTGAATGAACAGACACCCCCACGACCCGCACACTCCAAACACAAACATGGTGCCACGGGATTCAGCCGGGCTCTTTGAAAGCATGCTCCACTTTGAACAGGTTCCTCTGCAGGCTGAACCCCTGGTGTCACAGGAATAAGCCGTGAAGTCAGAGCTTCCAGAGCCCAGCAAGCCGGCGTAGAGCTGTCATGTGAGCAGGGAGCCGAGACTTGTGACACGTTAGTGCACCATGATCCAGCAACCAAAATCTGGATCAACACACATGTGTATAGTTACTAATCCCAGCAGTTACTCCACCTGAGGACATAATATTGGTGTACCCAGAAGCCCTTGGGGCATTTGGGTGCAGAGATCTTACTATGAGGCATGATATCAGGTTAAATGCATTGTCACAGGGGCGAGGAGCTGCAGAGTGAAAATCACACCCTATATGTGTTCTATGTGGATCTCTGTGGGCTTCTGTACAGCTCTGCGTGGAAGCAATAGGAAGGAGAGAGTAGCACAGGAGTTGGGCGTACCCTTCTGCAGATGTCTGAATGCATCTTTGAGAGGGATTGGCTGCGGAGGACAGGTTTTTACCATTGCATCAGAGGGGCAGGCATCTTCATTAAGCCCCCCGTGGAACACAGATGCTCCGAGCAGAGTCCCAGTGGTCACCATAAACCACAAAACGGCGTACAGAAGCACAGTCTTCAAGTTTGAGCACAAGTTTTAGGCTGCTCTGTTGATTTTGGCGTTGAGGAGGTGGAGTTTTCCGGAACTGGCAGCTGGATCATGTCACATTTGACTTGGCTTCACGGAGTGTCACAGAGAGGCGTTTCTTCACCTCATCCGTGCCTCTATCTTATCTCCCTGTGTCTCCCTCTCCTGTTTCCTCTGTTTGCTGCATCACTCCTTGCAGATAAACAGGTGCCCCTTCATACAAGTCTGTCCATTTCCAGCCCCGATCCCTGGTCAGCCACGGCATCAGGGGGGAGGGGGGGCGGAGACCCACGCCAGTGCAGTTTAAACTCTTCATCCACCTCAGACCTCCTTCGCGTGACAGGCCACCTGTCAGCAGGCCCTGGGCCTGTGTGTGTAAGCTGGGTGCAGTGGGTGTTTGCCGATCTGGGAACGGCTTCTCGCAAAGAGGGAGCACTCTGCGG